TTGTAGTAGTACTTGTAGTAGTAGTAGTAGTAGTAGTAGTAGTAGTACTACTACTACTACTACCACTAAATCCTACATCCCTCACCTGTCAGAATCACTAGAGTTTAGGGCTTCCAGAGTTTATGGTTTGGGGTCTATGCGGTTTAGGGTTTCGGGTGGCTGAGGACCTGTATTGAAATTCATGGGTTGTGGGATCGGGGGTTGTTTTATTGGGATGTATGGGTCTAAGTTTTATACCGCTGGCTGTTCCTTAAACCCTGCACGTGCCTTACGGTAACGTGCTATGTTAATATAGATGCCTGCACTTGGAGGTTCATGGGTAGTTATAAGTGGAGTTATAAGTCCGCTAAGTAATATGGGTTACAACTATAGTTACCCTATACTTATAACCCCACTTATAACTACCCATGAACCCCCAAGTACCACCCTGAATCCTAATATAAAGGGCCTTCATAATGAGAATAAGGTTCCTTTGAGCGTTACCATATTAATATAGATGACCGTAGTTTTACGCTGGAATTGGGACTGAACCGGAAGCGCCTGAGCTGTGCCGCCGCCTTCAGCTCTCGCTGCTTCCGTGCCTCGCAGTGATTCTGCTGGGCCCAAAAGACTAAAGGCCACAACGAGAAAAGGTACTGGTAGTAGCGATTTAGGGTTTATAGGGTTTAGGGTTTAGGGTTTAGGCCACAACGACAAAGGTACTGGTAGTAGGGATCCCACAATTAAGGTGGGTCTTGTAAACGGATTGGAAGATCCGCACATTTACATCTGCACAGCTGGAAGCTTGTACCGTGTACCCAAACCACACATCCCAAAACGTCTGACTAGAGAGAACAGGTGTCCGACTCATAGATTTCACAATCATCTACTGCCGAGGGAACCTGAAACTGAGGTTCAGGGTTTAGGGTGGTTTACGGTGAAACTACTAGTGCACACAAGACAGGAGCTACCCCCCTGCCCCACACCCCCCGGCATACTGCATGCCTGTTGTTTAAGAGCCATCTAAAGGAGCCCTAGTTGAATTAAAAAGCCTCCGAATGAACCGGCGAGACATGGACAACCCAGGAAAGAGCTAGCCATCACGAAGCCTCGGACCGGAAAGTTTCTTGTTTCTTTCTGTGTGCAAGCCAAACCTGCCCTACTGGCACCACTGGAACTTGTACTGCATCTTATCCCGGGCATTCATCACGTGCAGGTTCAGTCGCACCACCGGAGGCGTCACTAATCCCACCTCCCTCATCCTCATCCATTACCAGACTTCGCTCGCGCGTATCTCCAGCAGTCACACCCACAGCCGAAAGTTTCGAAGTTAGGGCTCCAGGGTTTGGGGCCTAGGCTTCAAATGGCACACATTATGCCAATAACATTACACATCGGGCTCGAATCACATTAGGGGGGCCCTGCGCGGATCTTCCTAAATCATGGGTTCCTGCCCGTGCAATGAACCAGAAAGCAGCACCGAACTCCAAGACCCCTAAACCCTCGACCCCGAAGGACACCAGCCCCAGGACTCTCATCTCCGGGCCCTGAATCCATAAACCAGACACGCTCCATGATACGCTGCATAGGGCCTGCATTGTGGGATCCCCGCTGAACCCCAAACCCCAAACCCTGAACCCTAAACCCTGAACCCCAAACCCTACTAAACCCTCTAAATCCTAAACCCTGAAACAAACTCCTAATCAGTAAGGTTGGGCATTCGGGTCTTCGGGCTCAGAATGTCAGTTCTGAGGTCTCTAACTTTCAGAATTTTTGCTGCAGTTCCCTTCAAGGCTTCCTTACCCTAAACCCTAAACCCTAAACCCTAAACCCCTGTCAGGGCTGCATGAAGTGCACTGCAGGGCTCTAGGGCTTGATGGCTTGAGGGCTTAAGTGCTGCGAGTGCAGGCTTCTTGGGTTAGGGGTTTAGGGTTTAGGATTTAGGGGTTTAGGGATTTAGGGTTTAGGGTTTAGGGATTTAGGGATTTCGGGTTTAAAAGTTTAGGGTTTAGGGATTAACTGAGGTTTAAGGTAAGACCTCGCCAAAGGCCTTCCTACTACAGGATCCTTAACGAGTACAGTGCAGTTTTGAACTGTCCTAAAGTACACACCCAAAAATATCATGCATGACTGTTGGTTTTTCGGGCCCCCGTATGAAACCCTGGAATGGCCCCTATAAAACCACCAAAAAAACCCTGACCCCTACAGACGGATCACTTCTCCTGGCCCTAAACGCTAAACCCTATCTCTAAAGCCTAGTAGACACGAACACTGTCGGACCTGGTTCAACGCCTTCAACGTGGAGCCCTCGAACTCAGCTTGCAGGCCTATCAAGAGGCCGTAAGGTTGTGGCGAAGCTCTAAAAGGCCTCCCAAATGAGGGTCTTGTAGGGGTTGCTCGAAAAGTCGTGTCATATACGGTTTAGGGTTTAGGGGTGCTATAAAGCCCTGCCTTAGTAGGTCGTGTTGGGGCTTCGCATTTTGGGGCCTACGGGGTATGGGATTCTGGCCGGGCTACTTGAAGGAGGGGGAGTGAGCAAAGCGACACAGGGGCCTTGTTGATGGATGTAGGGGCCTCAATAACTAGAATAGGGTTTTGGGCTCTTTCATAGTATAATCATATTTATAATAGGGAACCCTGACAGTAACACGGGTATTAGGCTTCTATATTGGAATAGGATTTGGTGTTCTGGGTCAGGATTAGGGGGACAGCCGGGGATATAGACCCTCTCAACGTGGTCCCTTTTAAAGGAGCCATAAGTAGGGTTCAGAAGAGTCCGCTTTAAGGGGTCTCCCTAATACTACCTAGGATGATAGCTATAAGAAGGAAGCCGAGGGGACCCAACTCCTTAGCGCCTGTTCCCAACTATGACACAGGGTTTGCGACTAGAATTATGACTTCCCAACCCCCGGATCAGGACACTTCTTCCCCAGATACAACCCACATACACCATCCTGTGGTCTGAAAGCCAGAACCCTAAACCCTGCATGAACAAACAGGACATTGAGCCCTCAACCCTAAGTGGAAAACCAGAACCCCAAACCCTACACCCTAAAACAGTATCCTAAACCCTAAACTCTAGACCCGAAGCCCTGAACCGGAACACCCATGATTGCAGACTGCCCTACATGCAGCTGTCTGGCCTCCCCTCTCCTTGAAGCACCGCGTGACGCCGCAGAGAAAGCGATACCGAAGGATGACGTTGTCCACGTGGTAGTATCTCGCCGATCTTTCTGCGTCCTGTCAGGACAGACAGTAATCACGTAACCTTCCGCGAGCCCTCTCATGTCTCGTTCAAGAATGGCTGGCTTTTGTCCTCGATCACGTCGTCCACCGCTGGCCACAGGCGATCGTCATGCCTGTTGATGAAGCCATAGCCTTGGGATTGGGGTTTAGGCTTGGGGTCTAAGCCCGGTTGGGCTTGAGGCCTTGCATCGCTCCTAAAGCTATCATGGAACCGGACCAGGGGCAAATTTATCGACTCCGACATACAAGAGGGCTATACCGGACTAGGCTTTAGACTAAGAGTTCCAGATAGGTTTCAGCATGCGAATGGGATTTAGGGCTAGGGGCGGATGCATGGGAGACTTGAAAAAGCTTGTTCGATGACGAAGCCCTAAGACGTAAACCCTTAAACCCCAAGCCCTACTCCAGATATTCGTGATAGGCATGCTTCAAAGGGGTGATTCGCCGAGATACCTCCTACTTCCCCAATACCCTGCGTCCAGCAAAGGTTTAGGGTTTAGGAATTTTGGGATAGAGCTATGTTGAAAACCCTAATAAGTGAAAAGTTGGGCAGTGCAGAACCAAAATATTGTTAACTTCTCGCCACGAAAATCGCAACCGGTCGATGCGTGTCGCTTCTGCACTTCAGCTGAAGTCCGAAACGCGAATTCATTCCGGATATTTTCCATTTCCTCTCGAACCTCCATAAGCCCACAAGCACCAAGGCCAAAAGCAAGAGGCACCGCAAACTCCGAAAGCCCCTTGGCACTCTTAGTGCAAGCCCAATATTAAAAAAACACACACACACACACACACACACACACCAGACCTCATAAACCTGCCTGCCTCTGAGGCAGCAGCAAAAGCCATTGATCTCGCCACATCGTCGCGAAACTCCATCAATAGGCATGGAGTTTGGGTTCCTCGGCTTCTGAGACTCCTATAGGGTTGATGATATAAACCCCTGCATTACCCATAATAAGGAATAATTCCCATAGTTTAGGGTCCGTATAAGGCAATGCAGGATTTAACAGTAGGTTGGAGGATCTAGGGTTCGGGCTTTCTGTGCTCCTGATGTTCTGGTGGTTTGAGCACCGAGATTGCTGGGTCTTAAGAGTTAGGGTCTTAAGAGTTAGGGTTCTCAGCTTCATAAAAGGGCTCTACGGTTTGGAGCTTCAGGTCGTCGGGGTGCCGCAGTCTTGGCAACTGGGGCTTAGCATGGTGCGCGTACAGGGTTAAGGTTTGCTGAAGCTACAGCATACCTGAAATCCCAAACCCCAAACCCTAATTTACTAATATCCCAGGAGCCTAACGCCTAAACTTCAAAATAAACCGTGTCGCGTTTGCTAGCTTCACCAGAAAGTCAAAATTCGAACTCCCAGGCTTGCCCCAGACACCTGCATCCTAAAACCCGAACTACATTAAAACCCGGACTAAACCCTAAACCGCCCTACGGTTGATGATATAAACCCTGCATTACCCATAATAAGGGATGTACGATACTTCTATAGATTAGGGTCCTTAAGGTAATGCAGGGTGTATATCATCAACAGTACTACACCGCTAACCCTAGTAGGCCATGGCGCGACGAGGCGTTCAGGCCCCAGATGAAGCTCTTGTGCTCCTTCATGAGGCCTCACTTGGAGGTTCACGGGTAGTTATAGGTGGGGTTATAAGTGGGGTCCTTTAAGGGTGCCTTTAAAGGGTCCTATAGGGATTAGGGTTTAGGGTTCATGGGTAGTTATAAGTGGGCTTATAAGTAGGGTAACTATAATTATATCCCATATTAGGGGGCTTATAACTTCACTTATAACTACCCATGAACCTCCAAGCAAGCGCTTGAAGCATCAGAGGACTTAGGTTCTATAGGGTTGCGGGGCTTAGGGTGTAGGGTTTAAGGGCTTAGGGTCTAGGGTTTGTTTTGTGTAAACTAAGCCACTCCGACCTTACTGAAAAGCTACTTACTGTAGAGCACTGTTTAGGGTACCCGGAGATACTCTACCAACAACAGGTACTCCGAGAGCTCAATACTCCTGAACGAGACCCTGCTGGTTTACTAATCGCCCTGATCGCACACGCCAAAGAACACCCTTGTGGAATTCCTATCGAAGACCCTGCAAGGGCCCTGTCTCCCATGATCCTTCAGGGAAGGTTTCAGGATACATTGCAACGACTTAAATCCTAAGTCCCTTCATCGGAAAGGAAACAAAGCTGATCAAGAAATGTTGCGATACCGCATGTATATATATAAATAAATAAATAAATGAATAAATAAATAAATAAATATATATATATATATGTTTAGGGGCTGATGGTATCCCTTAACTTTACACCGTGAAACAATAAAGCCCAAATGCCCTCACCACCCCCCCCCCCCAGAAGCCCTCAACCTCGCAAACTCCAGAATCCTAAACCCTAAGCCCCTAAATCCTAAAGCCTACAATCCCTAACCCCCCAGGTACCTACTATATAGGGTACTAGAGCCCCTAGGGCCCCATATAGTAGGTACCTGGGAGGTTAGGGAATTACAACCCTAAACATCCAACCATCGAGCTACTAAGCCCCAGAGCAGAAAACACAGTCCGGGCCAAAACGGTCGCAAAAGCGAAGGCCTTTAGAAGGGACGATTTAGGATTTAGGGTTTAGGGGCTTTAGCTGGGTTCGACCGGGTAGGAGACATCTTTTATAGACCACAATTGAGGTTTTGAGGTTCCCCCTGATAATCGCATAGGAATAAAAACAATCCCTATGTTTAGGGTTCTTTGGCCGCCTCGCATAGGAGGGGGGTTCGCCTCATATGGGGGGTCGGAATATTGAACAACAGTATCCCCTTATAATCCTCGATCTCTATATATGTAATTATCATATATATATATATATATAGATAGATAGATAGATATGTATATATAAAACACACACATATTCTGCTTGTTTGTCTGTATATCGATATGTTATTACGTATAGGACAACGTACACCCAAAACCTATTCTCATTACCATTACTAATGCCCGTACCCTAAACCCTAAACCCTAAACCCTAAACCCTAAACCCTAAACCCTAAACCGTTGTCATGTCAGGATCGCGGCCGAAGGCGTGGAAGATGAGGTTCTCGAAACAAGCTTCCGGAAGCGGCATGCACTTCTTGGGACCTGGGTTTAGGGTCTTAGGGGGTTTAGGGTCTGGGGTGAATGGGTTAGGGGTTCAGGGTTTAGGAGTTTAGGGTTTAGGGTCTGGGGTGAATGGGTTTAGGGGTTAGGGGTTCAGGGTTTAGGAGTTTAGACGCTATGTCTGCGTATGGCTGCGGGTGCGGATGAGTGGAGAATGCCAAACGGCAAAGGGAATGCCGAAAAGCGCTACAGTAGAAAGGTAGCATTGCAAAAAGTTTTAAGCGAAAAGCAGATAACCGGGAAAGACCACAAGCGCCGAAAAGTCAGGAACGGTCTGAAAAAGTCTGAAACAAAACACCCAAAGGCGAAATGTAATGTGAACCAGCGAAAAGAAGAAACGTCGAAATATCCAAAATAAGCGAAAAGGTGAAACTCCCCAGACACCACAGGAGGCGAACACTCAACAAGTCTGGTCAACCATGACTGAGACAATGCTTCTGCGGAGTTCGTCTGACCACGAAACCCACCCTTCATATCGATCTGCTGAAACCCAAAACCCTCCACCCCAAACTTTAAACCCTCAGCCCCAACATCAGCCTTCGGTGACAAAGGGCTGTGGCACCAGTTGATTCTCTCGAGGTCGTCATCGAGACTTACGATATATGTACCTGGCACGTAGATGTACAAGCAGCTTGCTCAAGTCATGTTTCGTTAAGATGCATAGGTTCTGATGACGGTCCCAAAGGGTCTTGCAAGGCTTGTTAGGAACAGGACTTCAGACTTTAGAACCAACCCCAACAGAATGCAAACCTGAACCAACAAAAACCCACACCGAGAACCCCAAGAATCCCAAACTACCAGAGCCCTGAACCCTGAAGCCCTAAACCTTAAACCCTCACGCACCGAGGCCCTTATAGGAAGCCCCAATGCACTGACACAAATGTCACCCTTAGTGTCTTCATTGAACAAAATTAACAACACCTGCATAACCTTGTTGTAAAAAGCCCTAAATGGAATCTGATCCTTGAGCCGTATACCGTAATCCCCTAAAGCCCTTTTGCACCGCTCAACCCTAAACCCTAAAACCCGAAACCCTAAACCCTGCACCCCTAAACCCTAGAACCCTAAAAACCTAAAGCCCAAATCCGTGAAAGAAGAGACTTTAGCCTGTCACCGTTTCACACTGGAGCCTCTGTCCTTTCGGGGCCCCTTTGAGGGCTGCTCTACCCTAGGTTTAGGGTTTAGGGCTTCGGATTTAGGGCTTAAGGGTTTCAGGATTCCTTTGAGGTCTGCTTGAAGTGGTTCTTTGAGGCCTTCTTCAAGGGCTTCTCTAAGTTTTATCTACCACAAGTCGAGTTTGCTATGGGGACTGGAGCTTGAGCCTCGGGAAAGTGTAGGGAGTACAATACTTGGAGGTTCATGGGTA